CTTCCCAAATGTTTACTCTCAATTTTGCTCTTCTCTCATCATTCACAAACAGCTCGCGGGCCAGCACCAGTTTGTGTACCATAAGGCACTACTCGATGAGTCGTCCATGGACCAGCAGCATCAGGGAACCTGTCAGAAATGCAGATTCTTAGGCCCCACCCCAGACCTACCGAATCTGCATCTGCATTTTAATAAGACCCACAGGGGAAAAGCACTGTTCTGCAGGGAAATCAATCAGATGAATGAAAGATTACAATAACATTTAATAATAGCAATAATAGCAAACAGGTTTAGCCCTTACCGTAAGTATGAATACACTGGTATAATTATTTTCATATATCAACTAATCTGATCCTCATAACAAACCTGTGAAGTTAAGTGCTTTTATTATGCTCATTTTGCAGGTAAGGACACCAGACAGTAGAGTTTAACCATCTAGTTCAATGTCACACAGCTAGGAAGCAGAATGTAGGAATGAGAATTGCTTCAGGGACATGAGAGAAGTTGAGACTGACTGACAGGGCGCTCAGATGTGGGAAGGGTCAACTTTGGACAGGACAGGTATTTGAGCCGGGTCTGGCACATATCTGGCATTCCTAGCATACAGTAGTCACTTAAATGATTTTGGTTGCATTTGTCCTTCCCTATTTCCATAGTTTCAGGGAGGTGGTTTCAATTTATTTACCTGTTCGCATAACTCTAAACTTTTTAAGATTCAGCTCAAATTTTTCTTTCTTCTCCTATTTCCCCTGTTTCCAACTCTACAGTGAAAGTGTTTGTTTCCTTCCTTGAGCTTCCCTATACTTTGTTCTTTCCTGGCCCATTAAGACCTTCTGTCCTGATTAACAATGTGCAGCTAGCCTATGTCCTCAGGCTCACATAGGGAAGGGACCACATCTATTTACGTTTTTTACCTTCCTTTTCTTTTCTTTTCTTTCCTTTTCTTTTTTCTTTCCTTCCTTCCTTCCTTCCTTCCTTTCTTTTTCTTTCTTTCTTTCTTTCTCTCTCTCTCTCCCTCCCTCCCTCTCTCTCTTCCTTCCTTTCTTTCTTTTTAACATCTTTATTGGAGTATAATTGCTTTATAATGGTGTTAGTTTCTGCTTTATAACAAAGTGAATCAGTTATACATATACATATATCCCCATATCTCTTCACTCTTGTCTCTCCCTCCCTCCCCCCCTCCCTATCCCACCCCTCTAAGTGGTCACAAAGCACCGAGCTGATCTCCCTGTGCTATGCGGCTGCTTCCCACTAGCTATCTATTTTACATTTGGTAGTGTATATATGTCTATGCCACTCTCTCACTTTGTTACAGCTTACCCTTCCCCCTCCCCATATCCTCAAGTCCATTCTCTAGTAGGTCTGTGTCTTTATTCCCATCTTACCCCTAGCTTCTTCATGACCTTTTTTTTTTTTTTCCCCTTAGATTCCATATATATGTGTTAGCATTTGGTATTTGTCTTTCTCTTTCTGACTTAACTTCACTCTGTATGACAGACTCTAGGTCCATCCACCTCAGTACAAATACTCAATTTCATTTCTTTTTATGGCTGAGTAATATTCCATTGTATATATGGGCCACATCTTCTTTATCCATTCATCTGTTGATGGACACTTAGGTTGCTTCCATGTCCTGGCTATTGTAAATAGAGCTGCAATAAACATTGTGGTACATGACTCTTTTTGAATTATGGTTTTCTCAGGGTATATGCCCAGTAGTGGGATTCCTGGGTCATATGGTAGTTCTACCTGTAGTTTTTTGAGGAACCTCCATACTGTTCTCCATAGTGGCTGTATCAATTTACATTCCCACCAACAGTGCAAGAGTGTTCCCTTTTCTCCACACCCTCTCCAGCATTGATTGTTTCTAGATTTTTCGATGATGGCCATTCTGACCAGTGTGAGATGATATCTCATTGTAGTTTTGATTTGCATCTCTCTTCTTCTTGAACCCCAAGTGCCTGGTACCTCAATAAAACTTTGTTAAAATAATATAAAGTTACCAAGAAAATAGATTGTTCAGCTGCAGGTGGAACATTCTTTTAGATATTCATTGCTCTATATTTTCCTAACACATTCTGCACCAGAACCTTAACATGAACTGTCAAACCTTAAAATATTAGCAAAATATAACTGTCAGACTTAAAGCATTGCCACTGAGTTGACTGATTACACTGATCACATGCCCATACACACCATGTTTGTGCACAGAAACACACACACACACTTTTTTTCTGTTGGAATCTGGTAGGCACACACCAAGTTCTACTTTTACCAGTTCTATATTACAAAAACATGCTGGAAAGCACTGAAAAGGGAGAAATATATAAAAATGTAGTTCATCTCCACCCTTCCTTTTGTTGGCATTATAGCTTGTTAGTGCATTTTAAGGACAATGGGTTCATAGATCATTCTTGAATGCTTGGACCTTGAAATTAATATTCTGCAGTCTAAGGATAAAAATCTTAGAAAAGTTCTGTATTGTCAAATGCTATTTTGGGGGTATGTAGTCTTTTCTTAATGTCAGTAGATGTCATTATTTAAATTCAGCCATTTGTTAAACAGTATAATTGCCCATCAATTATATTTTACCACTGAATTTAGACATGTTATACCTCCCCTCTGCTCAAAAATTTTCAAGTCTTAGAAACTACAGGCTAATGGAGATGATCTGAAAAATAATTTTAGTCAGCATAATTCAAAATAATAGAGAGGATCAGAACTTTTACTACCGAGGTAGCTTTTAAATGATAGTCCTTGCTAGATTCTGTTTTACCCAGATAGAAAATTCTGCATTTTATACCTTAAAAAAATAAAACCGTGCCAGCAGAATCCTAAATGGATAGATTTTAGGTGGCATTTGCGTGTGTGTACCCTGGACAGGCTTAAATGATTAACTAGTCCATAAAATTGAGGACAAAATCCTGAAATGCTTTGTTCAGTTAATTTTATGGCTCCCTTTCCTTGTTCTTAGGTGCACAAATCCTACCCTCAACTGTACTGCACTGCTCATTATTTAACATTTAAGACCTAACTGATGAGTTCCTCATGGCACTGTTACTATCAACTTGAGCTTCTGTGCCAGACATCAATACAAATCACTTGGAGAATATCTATGTGAATCCTAAACCACTCAATTAGTGATTCCGTTCTAACAGTCCTCCCTTACCTGGACTGCTTAGAAAAAGAAAGAGGAATGAAATGGTAGCCTGCTGGTGTTCCCTTCTATGACTGGGGACAAAGCATTCCATTGCCTCTGTTTCTCCTTTTGCAAACCTAAAGAATACTTCTCTTATTACCTCGCAAGGGACTGTGGTCTGGATTGATAACATGATGACAACCTTGGATTCTTTGAGTGTCATATGAAGACTTGTTACACAGAATGCTGGCTTGCTGTATGCAGGATAGAACATTCTTTTTAAGCTTTCTTTTTATGGTAATAGGTGGTTGAATTTAAGCAGTTCTAAATTACATTCTTGCTTGACTTATACCTCAATGTCAATTTTCTCTGGATTAAAAAAAGCACTGTATGAATTCATGTGACAAAACACACACACACAACACACACAAACACAACCAACTATTAGGAATTTACTAAGATTTAAGTAACATGGAATTTGATTACACAGTGCATTCTGGGGCTCAGCCACAGCAGGCTACAGATGCCAGGCAGGCTGATTATGACTTAAGCATTGTTTCAATGTGATTTTGCAAAGGATTTCATTTAATGCAGATTAGTAAGTTTATTAAGCTGTTGATAATTGAAGCCTCTTAGGTTCAGTAGGTACCATCCAGCAAGGTAGATTAGTGGGGTTTAATTTGTTGCTCTCAAATAGCAAACAAAGACTTAGCAGAATAATTACATCTCCTCTGTGGACTAATAAAAGGCGACATCACATTGGTGCTTTTGGCCATTTCTGCATTTTTGCAGTTTCTTTTAGAGCACTGCCTTTGGAGTTTCCTGCATCTCTCTCAAGTGACCCCAAAACCCATCACCTGTGAATTATGTTACTTAGAAATTAAGGTTAGTTACATGAAATGTAAGCCATGAATGGAAATATTCACTTTAGAGCAAGCTGTGCTCTCTCTACCTTAAGTCAGAACTTTTCCACTATTTCCTAAAATTTTCTGTCTATCCCCTTGTCCAGACTGTAAGTACCTCAAGGGTGGGGGCCGTGTCTCTCATCTGATTCCTTAGCAATTAGTACCATATCTGGCATATCCAGGCACTCAGTCTGTTTGCCTAAAAAACAATGAATTATCTTAAATAATCCAAAGTATGCTCTAAAAATAACATTATCACCAAGTTTTCGAGTTCTAGGAAGTTAGTCTTAGCCAGAGTATAAAGTTGCTGTGTTAGCCAAAAGACTAAGAGTCAACATATGAAAGAGATTGTACGAAAGAGGAAAATGATGATTTATTACCCAATAGATTCTTGGACACACAGAGCATTCAGCCTGTTAGTCGACTAAATAAATTAACTTAGTGTCTTGACATGACCCAGTCCTCACTTTAGTTGATTCGGTTACATGCGTTTGGTGTCATCACAACATGAAGAGACAGAGGCCTCATTCCTCTGGGACTCCTAGGTCTGCCATATTTCTAACAGAGTCACAAACCAGACAGTGAAAAATGCTACACTGGGGGGAGGTGATATAAATAACATTTCTTAACAGGAAATGCCAAAGCTGTTTGGAATGGTTAGAAATAAGTTTCTAGAAATAATCTTGGTATTCTTTCTCTTCCATTCCTGGATATCAGATTATTAGCAAGGCTGCAGGTGTGGAGACTCAGGCCTTAGGAATCACTGCTGGTTTCTGTTTTCTCCATTGGCTTTACAGCTACTTAATTTTTTCAGAATGACACCTGAACTTCAAAGTTAGTGAGACATTTTGAGTATTCTGGAACATAGCACCTTCCTCAAAATTAGTTTTAAACTAATCCCACTCCTATGTCTCCCACTTCATACTATTGATCATGTGAGGTCTACCTTGACTTACTGGTAAAGTTCTCCCTTGCAAGTGACTTTGCAAGGATGTTTGGCTGCAGGTCATGGCGACTGTTCCCAATGACTTCACAACATGAGCAGAGAAGAATGAAACCTGTTTCTGGCCCTTCATTTGAGTGATTGGTGACTTTGTTTTAGACTGGGTACCGTTTAAACCATGGACCCATTCCTCAAGAAAACATCCCTAGACATATATGTTCCCTATAACACTTAATATGACAGTAACAAACCTCAAAAGGATAGATATATAAGAGTGCTAAAGCACGGATTATAAAGAAGTACTCAAACCAGTGTGCTTCCTAGAGATCTCAGTTAGTGCCTGCCTGTCCATATGTAGCCATTTTTATCGTGATACCATATCCTCACCTACCCGCCCCCTGCACCATGATCACAACTGAATAGACCAGTGGTGGTGCCTGACATCACAGCAAAAAAGTCATAGGCTGGCCACTACCTTTGACTTACGAAGGACCCCAAAGGGAAGCTGATCAATCATAGTCCTTTTCTTGGAAATCTGAACTTAGAAACTCAGAGAAAATGAAGCCAGGAACCATGGGGAACTAATGCAGAAAAGTCTTGAGGCAGAGCAAGTTCCAACTAGGTAACAACACTTAGGTATAAGTAGAAATTCAGAGAGGGAAACATGTGCATTATCAGAGTACTCCATAGTGCCTGTGCAGTTAGAAGTAGAAACGCTGTGTATGAGAGAGAAACAAGGTAGCCTATGGAAGACAGAGAGATGGGGAGAGTAGTCCTGCTTCCTGATGATTTTCCCATTCCAATTCTAGTCAATTTCTAGGCTCACAATAATTTCTTCTTCCCTAACATGACTTGAGTGATTCTCATTAGAACAGCTAGGAAAGGTAACAATAAAATCTTATGAGCGAAAAGATACCAAAAAACCTTATTTTTTCATAGTTCACAGATCCAGCTCTCAAGTGCTGTATCTCATTTGCTCTACCTGAGCTCCATGTTGGGAGAAACTGACATTCAGAGAGGGAGATATGACTTGCTCAAGGTCACACCACTAGCAACTAGCAAAGGCAGAACTAAAGCCAGCTCTTCTGATCCAGACACTTGTGCAATCCAGTCCCATCACACTACCCCCTCCACATGGAAGGCAGAGTCAGCTGGCATCTAAAACAGAGTATTTTCATCTCTGAAAAGGGGCTGATTTGTAGGACAAGTAGAGAGAGGCTGACACATTCTGCTTGTATCAGGGACACAATTCTAGTTGTTATTTTGCTTTTGGAAACAGTTCCAGTGTTAGCTCTGACAACCATGAATCTTGGATGTCCCAACATTTCCCTTAATGGGATTCAGCTAAAGGAACTTAATGGGTGGGCCAAAATGTGCCTTCGGTATTTTAAATAAAAATAAAAGACACATTTCTCATTTTCACCAAGAACTTTACTGAACAATGTATTCACCCTTTTGTTCTGGCATTTTTCAGGCAACTTCATAATTCCATCTTCCCAAAACTTTTTATCTTTTTGAGCAAAGAACTGTTCCAGGTGCCTTTTACAGTCTTCCTGGGAATTGAAATTTTTTTCATTAAGATAATTTTGAAAAGACCAAAATAAATGGAAATCCGAAGGTGCAATGTCTGGTGAATACAGTGGATGAATCAGAACTTCTCAGCCAAGCTGTAACAGTTTTTGCCCGGTCATCAAAGAAACATGCAGTCTTGTGTTATCCTGATGGAAGATTATGCTTTTTCTATTGACTAATTCTGGACATTTTTCGTTGAGTGCTGCTTTCAGTTGGTCTAATTGGGAGCAGTACTTGTTCAAATTAATTGTTTGGTTTTCTGGAAGGAGCTCATAATATAGGACTCCCTTCCAATCCCACCATATACACAACATCACCTTCTTTGGCTGAAGACCGGCCTTTGGTGTGGTTGGTGGTGCTTCATTTCGCTTGCCCACAATCTCTTCCGTTCCACATTATTGTACAGTATCCACTTCTCATTGCCTGTCACAATTTGTTTTAAAAATGGAACATTTTCATTACATGTAAGTAGAGAACTGCATGTGGAAATACAGTCAAGAAGGTGTTTTTTTTTGCTTACATGGAACCCAAACATCAAAGCGATTCACATAACCAAGCTGGTGCAAATGATTTTCAACGCTTGATTTGGATATTTTGAGTATGTCATCTATCTCCCGCGTAGTATAACATTGACTGTGCTCAATTAATGTCTTAATTTGATCGCTGTCAACTTCACCTGATCTACCCAACTGTGGCGGATCATCCAGCGAGAAATTTCCAGCACGAAACTTCACAAACCACTTTTGAAGTGTTTGATCAGTCACAGCACCTTCTCCATATACTGCACAAACCTTTTTTTTGCGTTTCAGCTGCGTTTTTGCCTTTCTTGAAATAATAGAGAACAGGCCAAAAATGTTGTTTTTCTTTCATCTTCAATATTAAAATGGTTACATAAAAATTCACCAATTTTGATGTCTTTTTTAAAATGCACTCTATGACAGCTGTCACATACAACCTAACAAAATTGCTTCGAGTGAAGTTAAAGATAATTAAGTGCTACTAAAGCCATCTTATGGAAAAAAACGAATGAACCTTTTGGCCAACCCAATAATTTTCGGCATTTGGGTAGTTGTTTTCTTGGCTATATTGAAAAACATATTTTGGGGGATCTTAAGAAATCGAGGGACATGTATTTACAGTGAGATTCATCCCCTTTCAGTTTCCATCCTTTGCTGTTGTTCATAATGAAGAGCTTCCTAGGGTGTTTTCCTGTATTAGGGGTGGTTTACAATGATCACTTGTAGGGACAACACCCACATGCAAACTCTTTAATTTGCTTTTTTACAACTTATTTTGTACATTCTTTCTGTCTTACAAAAGTTGTGCTAATTCACTGAGGGTCCTTTGGAAAACAGTTACACAAAGAGAAGAAAATATACGTTACCTCTAATCTTGACTCCCACCCACAGAGAACTCTGATAACATGTTGGCGTATGTTCTTGGTGGAAAAGTATAGGATACCCCAGAAGCCTACAAGGCAAATGTCTGATTTCTCCCTGGGATACAGTGACCTGGTGAAAGCATGCAGAACTGAATTAACCATTCATCTGAGAATGTGCTGACCAGGCATGTGAGGGCAGAACTAGTGATGGCCCCAGCATGGGGCAGAGTGTGCATGTGGCATGTGGCAGAGGTGCTCCTTATTACAGGAGAGATGTAGCATTTTAAACAAATACCCCAAATAGTTCCTGTATACAGAGGACATAGCTATGCCTTTGTTTTTGCAATATCCTAAATATGCTTGATTTATGTCCCTGCTTCACAGAGCTGGGGGACATGGATTTTGCTAATTTAAGTGATGAAAAAAACTAGGATAATCTTGGAGATAATTATAAGCATTCTGATGTATTAGAAAACAAGTTTAAGAATCAATGAAGTGGAACTCCTGCTAAAAATTATTCCAGGAGTTTGTGAAAAATGTACATTATGGTCCCTTGTTCATAGATTATGCATCTGTAGGTGATAGTGGGTCTCCAGCATCCCAATTTTTAAATAATAACCACAGTTAATTCCGTGAACTACTGTCTGAGCAACACTAAGATTTCCTCTCGGCCACTGGTTGGAATCTGAGTTTCTCGAAGTCGGCTATTTATGTTTATTTGCAAGATGCCAAACCCACTGCCACTGCCTTGGTTAAGTCCTCTCTCTCACTCCAACACCATTACTCTAGGTTTCCTAACAGGCCTCTCTGTTCCCCACTCCCTCACCCTCTTCCATCCTTCACAGGGCCATGTTTAAGAAGAAATATCTTCTTAAACCAGAATTCTTTAACCTCAGTACTGTTGACACATGGGGCTTAATAATTCTTTGCTGGGTGTGGGTACTGTCCTGTCCTTGTAGGATGTTTAGCAACATCTATGGGCTCTACTCACTAGAAACCAGTAACATCCCCATCCCTGGCTGTAACAACCAAAATTGTCTCCAGTCATTGCCAAATATCCCTTTGGGGAAAAACAGACCGTGGTTGAAAACCACTGTGCTCTTAAACCTTAGGTCTCTTCTTCTATTGTCCAAATGTTTTACCATGACATTCAAATACCTATGTGATCTGCCTCCAAAACATGTTTCCAGCCGTGCCTACTGCTAAAACTACTCAATGATCCTTGCTCTCCACCAAACTAGGCCATTCTAGTTTACCCAATATCAAGAACCACTGATATTCACAACTCTGTACATTAGCTTCTGCTTTTTCTCAAGCCTTAAGCATCCTTTTCTTTTTTTGCTTGCTTTCCCAGGAAAACCTGACATCTTCAAAGCTTAGCTCAAAATCCACCTTCTCCAAAGTTTTCTTGATTTTCCTAATTATCTTCACTCCTTCCTTGTGTGTACTAGTTTTTTTTTTTTTTTTGCCTCTATCTAGAGCTTATTTATTCAGACTTGTCCCACAACCAATTTTTTTGCCCATCTCTTTCCC